AAGTTCCCGACTCCCCGGGACGGAGAGAAATGCTGGTCGTGCTAAGCTACTGAATTTCGACGTAACTTGCTATACAGTCGTAGACAACAAACACGGGAGGTGCTGTTGTGACCCGTCCCTTTGACAGATGAGGACACGGAGTCTCATGGAAGGGCTCCAGGGCCACCTGGTCGTGGGGACCCGCACCCAGGCCAGGCCCAGCTCAAAGCCGGTTTCCCGCCTCTGCCCTGGGGGGCTGGAGAAGATCACGGACCACTGGGCTCCACTGCCCCATCCCTCGTTGTGTGCAAACGAGAGATGGACCTGGAATTAGGAGTTCCCGGTCAAGGTCACTGGCTGACCCCAGCCCCTTGGGCTTGGAGGGGCGGCCTCAGCAACCTCGCACCGGCAGACGGTTTCCATAGCAACAGAACCTTGTCCCTTGCTGAGAGCTGATCCTTTAGTATAACTGAGTTCCTGGGCACGGTGGCTCATGCCTGTAATCCCAGCACTTTGGGAGGCGGAGGCGAGAGGATTACCTGAGTCCAGGGGTTCGAGACCAGCCTGGGCAACTTGGCGAGAACTCGTCTTGACAATAAATCAAAAAATTAGCCGAGCGTGGTAATGCATGCCTGTGGCTCCAGCTACTTGGAAGGCTGAGGCGGAAAGATCGCCGGAGCCCAGCAGGTGGAGGCTGCGGTGGCCCTGAGCGTGCCCCTGCACTCCAGCCTGGGTGTCAGAGTGAGACTCTGACTCAAAAATAAATAAATAAAAAAGAATGGCCGGGCTCGGTGGCTCAGCCTGTAATCCCGCGCCTTTGAGAGGCTGGGGTGAGTGGATTGCCTGAGCCTGTGGGTTTGAGACCCGCCTCGGCAAATTGGCGAGACCTCATCTCTACAGTAAATCAAAAATGAGCCGGGCGTGGTAGCGCGCCTGTAGTTCCAGCTACTCGGAAGGCTGAGGCGGAAGGATCGCCGGAGCCCAGCGGGTCGAGGCTGCGGTGGCCGGGAGTGGCCGCTGCGCTCCAGTCTGGGCGACAGAGTGACTCCAACTCAAAAAAAAAAAGAATGACTGAGCCACGGGCCAGTCACCTAGGAGGCTCGGCTTCCTTGTCCCTCGGCAGGTGACTGACTGCTGGCCGGGTGGGAGGAGCTAAACTAGGAGGAGGCGGGCAGGAGGCCCAGACCCAGGGCCTGCTTCTGCCAGGCAGATGGAGCCTCTGCGCCTCCTGAGAGTAGAGTCTGACACAGCAGCCCCTGCCTCACACCTCCGTGGTTCCCCAGTGCCCTGGAGAGAAAGGCATATCTCCCGCCATGCCCCATGGTGCTTCAAAACTGGGCCCATTCTTCCTCCCCTCCCCTATGTCACCTCCCCAAGCCCCCAGGTTCTTGCCTGCTGTTCCCGCTGTAAGCCTCCTCTGTCTCCTTTCTCTCATCATCACTCAGGGGTCTGCTGAGATGGCCCCGCCTCCAGAAAGCCTTCCTGGACCCCAGTACTTGTGCTCTCATGGCCTCCTCCCTTTCCCCCATGAAAGCACTGAGCAAACAGTAGGTGCTCAATAAATGCTTATTAGCCGGATGAACAGGGCCTAGTTGCCCCCAACTCAGCTCTCTGCTCTTCTCTGTCCCCTGACGCAGAGCCACCTCCTCCTGGAAGCCTTCCTGGCTTCTCATCCCTCTCTAGTTCCTCCATTGTCCCCTATAGCCAGTTCGGAATTCACACTCCTGTGTTTTTGCTGCATGTCTGCTCCAGGGAAGGGACGGCAGACACAGGTCTACACCTGGAAGGGGCTCCAATCCCTGGGGCCACCTGCTTCCTCAGGGTCTCAGGTGGCTTCTGTGTGCCAGAGTCCCCTGCCCTCACGCCCCCCTGTGGGTCACATCCTTGGGACTCCTGACCTCTGACCTTCTCGAGAGCTGTGAACTGGGAGTCTGCTGGGCCAGTCCTTGGCTTTAATTCGAATCTTTACAACCACCTTGTGAACGAGGTGCCATCACCATCACCCTGACTTTACAGCTGGGGAAACCGAGGCACAGGGTGGTTTAGGCCCGAGGCACCGAACCCAGGCAGTCCGGCCTCGACACCTGCCCTCTGCCCGACTCTGAGGACAGCGCCTGCCTGTTACCCGCTCCCCCTCCCTGTGATGGGTGTCCAGGCATCCAGGGGCCGTCCCGCTGGGCCCCTAGGCCAGTCGCCAAGCGAGGCGGGTGACTGTTTATTCCCACCATAAGGACACACAGAAAAACTGGAGCCATCGGAAGGTTTCCAGAGGGGAAGGTGTGGGTGGACGCCACGCGGCCCTGGCTCATGGGTGAGTCATGTTTGGGGCTACTTTGGGGACTCTCCCCACGGAGGGACACACACACAGAAAGCCCCGTGCAGTCTGACACATGGACACTCATGCTCACGGGGAAAAGAACGCACCCACCTCCCACGCCAAGGGCTCGTCATGTCGTGACATGCCACGCACCATTATGGCGCCCCTCCAGAACGTCTGCCCGAGCCGGCCACTGCGATGCCCCCGTCTCACAGATGAGGAGACAGAGGCCCCAGTGATATTCCTGGAAAGGGGCGATGCCACGTGGTCACCAGGAAGTCCCTGGCATTTTCCCATCGCGAGGCCAGGCCCTGACTGCTCCCACCCCAGGGCCGTGGGCTGTCGGTCAGTGATGGGGGTTGGGTGGAGAGTGCAATCTTGATTTCTTAATACCAGGCCCCGGAGTCCAACCAGCGTGCCCCCTGCTGCAGGGTGGACACAAGGCACAGGTTCCAACCCAGAGGTCCACGGGGCGGGCGGCACAGGTGGGACCAAGGCGAGTCATGGGCATATGCCCCGTCTAAAGGTGGCCGGCCACTCCTCAGCAGCGCTTGTCACGTGGGAGTGTGGCCTGGTATGGCCAGGTCTTAACTATTTTCAACAGAAGCCAGTGATTGTAGTTTTTTGCTTTCTTTTTTTATTTAGAGACAGTGTCTCGCTGTCACCCAGGCTAGCGTGCAGTGGCATGATCATAGCTCACCGCGTCCCTGACCTCCTGGCCTCAATCGGTCAGACTCAAAGTACAGGCGCACGCCACCTCACCTTCAGTAACTACAATCCTTAGGTGACATTCCCCCATATTTTAATGTCGGCAGACAATCTTAAAACTAGCCTTTAAAAATACCATTTGGTAAAACACCTCCGAGGGCCAGATCTGACCCCCCCATTTTCACTCCTAGCCCCAGAACAAAGAAGCAGGACGCCTGTGATTATTATACAATTCTGTATTTAGCGACTTGTTTACAGAACGTGTTCCTTTTTTTTTTAAATTTTAAACAAAGTTCATCAATCTCTCGTAGAAACGGTTGGTGGCGTTTTTGTATGTGTTTGTTTTTGTTTTTACCGTCATAAGACGCGAACCTGACAGAGCTGTTCACAGCTCTACTAGCTTTAAGCACAACAGGATTTCTGTGTTCAAAAGACTCGACTAAGTGCTTTGTCAAATCTCGTCACCCTAAAGCCTCGGTCAGTTCTCTGGGCCTCGAGTCTGCGCCTGAGCCTGGATCTCAATGTTGTGTTGGTTTCGACAGTAGAACGTGGCATGCCCCACATGGTTGTCTCAACTGCAGCAAGGTCATGGTGGCCGAGGGGAGACATCTCGTTTGTTCCAGATTTGATGACTCTGAAAATTGGTCACTGTTTCCTAATGTCAAAATATAAAAATACCTTCATCTGGATAAAAATGCGCACGAGGAAAACTTCAATGCATAGCCTGGGTGTGTGGAAAAGGAGTTTCTCCCCCAGGATTGTGGCCATCTCGTGGGGAGACTAGAGCTCGGCTGGGTGCGGAGAACTGGGCTTTCTGGAACGGTTCTTACCCGGCCCCTTCTCGGTGCCGGTGTTTGCCCATCGAGTTGTGAAATGCTCATGGCATCCCTGAAACCTCCATCGGCCATCTCTCCTCCGGGCATTGGGTTGGCATTGGTGTACGGTCGCCTTTTCATCTTCTTTCTAGAGAGTGACCCCGTTTGGAGAGTATGAAAGAGCAAAAGCAATAAAAACAAGGGAGAGAGACTCAACAACCAATATGGCGGCCATTCCATCCCCAGTGGGAACTCTCTCCCTAGAAGCCATGGCGGAGACAGTGGAGGAAGGGCTCCTGAGTTGGGTGCGGCCTCTGCCCCCAACAGGTCATGCGTTGGAAGGGAGGAGGAAGACTTGGAGACTGGGATACGGCGGACATGCTGCGGTGAACTTGGTCTTCCAGAGTTCTACATGGACTTGGAGCCGCACACACCTTCCAGAAACAGCACCAGGGTCACCTCGGAGGGAGGATGGCGAGAGGGGAAGCTGGGGTATTGAATCGACTTTTTGGCCCACGGTCACTTCCGGAAAACACCAGGGGAGGGAGATGGCGGCCACAGTCTTAGGCTGAAACCTCCATGCTTCCACGTGGGTTGTGGCCACGATTCACGTGGGGAATGGGGTCGCTCTGGTGTCACGCTCCAAGCACCTGCCCATGCCCAGCTTTCCGGAGGATCTGGACGCATCCTGTCGACGGCTGACAAGATGGATGGCCGACCTCCTGGCCCCCAAGTCTCTGGCTCGAGGGGGTGTCAGTTTGTCCTGGACCATACTACATCTGTGTGGATGTCAGGCCTCAGCCTGCCCCTCTTTAACGCTTACAACAGCATGGGACGTTCTGGGTGATCAAGGTTGAGAGACAGGCCACTGGGATGACACACATCCTCAGCGGTGTCGGGGCTTTGTTTAGAGTCTTTCGGACTTTCTCTGTTCGGCCTGGTTGCCTGTAGGGTGGGAGCAAGGTGCTGTCTCTCACAGACAGGTGTGGAAAAGCCGCGGTTCAGAGGTTATCTAGATTTTGGTCAGTCTTATAGTGTTTTGTGATGGCTTTGAACAATTGTCTTCGTTTAATCTCATCTAGTGGCAAAAACGACACAACTTCAGTGTATACTTCGCGACAGTTGTGACAGCATCCTGATTTTATAACTCTCTGTAATATCAAAACAGCATCAGCTGGGAATAAATTCCAAAGGATCCTTTATTAAAATATCTAAAAGAGGTCTATAAATATTTATTTAATTTTTCTAAAAGAGTTTGGAGTTTTCAGGTGAAAAGGTGGCGCCATTTTGCTTCCGCCTCCTGCAGGGGGAGGGGGAGGCCAGGGTGCAGAGGAGGGGCAGGATTCCTGGGATCCCTGGGGCTAGGGGTGTGGAAAAGAGGAAGCCATGGCACCGGACCCACCTGCTCCCTCGCAATGTCACAGGACTAGAATTACAACAAAAACTGTAAACGGCATAACATTGCTGTCCACATGTCCGCGGATGGCTCCTCCCGCCCTCGCCCGGTCACGTCCGGGAGAGTGAGTGAGAGGAGGAAGGTGGTCACCGGCGTATGTCCCTGGCCCCCTCACCCCTGCCTTCAGAACTCCCACTCCAGGGCCTCCTCCCGATTGGCGGCCCTCTCCAGTCGGTAGATGATGCTGTTCAGGTTGGCCATCTTCTCGTGCCGCCGCTGCAAGTTGGGGTTCACCTTGGCGCTGGGGTGCAGGGCCCCGGCTGTGTCGGCGGTGGGGCTGGCACTCGGCACTTTGGCAGGGGGGGCGCCGGGTGGGGAAGGGGAGATGGGGGCTGAGGAGGACGGGACGGGTGACACCGACATCATGAGGCCTGGCGAGGAGGCGGCTGAGGGCGAGTTCAGTGACACCTCCAGGCTGCAGCGTGAGGACTCCGAGGCCGCCTTAAAGCTCAGAGGGTCCGGGTGGAGCCGCTCCCCGGCCTCGCTCTCCTGGGGGGGCTGGATCAAGGGGCAGTCGGGGGTGGCTCCACCCGGAAGGAGGGGCCCTGGGGCCACTTCTGGGGGTCCGTCGTGACTGGGAGGGTCAGGATGCTCCTCTTTGGGGGACCCCTGGCCCTGGTCCAGCTGCCCTGAGTCCTGGGGCTGGCTGCCCGTCCCCACCTCTGTGTCCTCCTCGGTCTGCTCTTGCTTGATCCTCACCCGGGTGGTGTCCTGGGCGTCTGGGGCCACGTCGTTCTCCTCAGAGACCTCCTGGAGTTCCAGGTCCTGCACAGCGGGCTTCTGCTCCTCCACCTCAGAGTCAGGGCTCTGCGGGGTAGGCTCCGGGTGCGAGTGGCCGGGTGGCAGGATTCCAGGACCCCCACTCAGGTCGAGGTCTGGCTCGTCCTGGGTCCCCTCCACCAACATCTCCCGGCGCATGCGGGACCTGGGGCAGAGACGGCGGTGAGCCTGGGGCTGCACGGCCCCCAGCAGCCCTGGACTCCATCCACTGCGTGGCATCTTGACCCCACCCACCACCCTGGGGCTCCCAAGGTGCTCAGCCTCCTTTCATGCACCATCTTGTTAAGTCACTTGACAACCCTACAAGGTGGGTGCCAGCATCCTCTCTACCCCCAGCGGAGGAACAGGGCTCAGAGATGTTAAGCCTCTTGCTCTGGGTCATAAGCTATTAAGTGGCAGAGCCGGGCCTTGAACTTGGAACTGTTGGACTCCAAAGCTCCTGACCTAGACCTGTGCTGTTCAGCACAGTAGCCAATGGCACGTGTGGGTCTTGAGCACTTAGGATGTGGCCAGTCCAGATGGAGCTCATCAATAACGTCATATTGATTACATGTTCCAATGGCTGTATTTGGATATATTGGGCTAAATAAAATATACTGTTGTGATTAATTTCATCTGCTTATTTTTAGTAATTTTTTTCTCTGTAGAGACGGTGCCTCGCTGTGTTGCTTAGGCTGGCCTCAAGTGAGCCTCTTGCTTTGGCCTTCCAAAGTGCTGGGATTACAGGTGTGAGCCAATACACCTGACCTATTTTTTTTCCCCAAGTCGCAATCTCACTCCATCGCCCAGGCTGGAGTGCAGTGGCATGATCACAGCTCACCAGAGCCTCAACCTCCTGGGCTCAGGCGATCCTTCCACCTCAGCCTTCCAAGTAGCTGGAACTACAGGTGTGTGCCACCACGCCTGGCTAATTTTTTGATTTATTGTAGAGACGAGGTCTCACCGTGTTGCCCAGGCTGGTCTCAAACCCATGGGCTGAGGCAATCCTCTTGCCTCCACCTCCCAAAGCGCTGGGCTTACAGGCATGAGCCACCACGCCTGGCCATGAGCCATCTTTTATTACTATCCAAGCCGGGTGTGGTGACATGTGCCTGTAGTTCCAGCTACTTAGAAGCCTGAGGTGGAAGGATCGCTGGAGCCAGCAGGTCCAGGCTGCAGTGGCTGGGAGAGTGCCACTGCACTCCAGTCTGAGCAATGGAGTGAGACTCCAACTCAAAAAAAAAAATTGCTATCCGACACCTAGCAGTTCTAGAGGACAGTTGCCAACATGGAACCCAGTGCTGACCATGTGTAGGGCTCTGTATCCATGCGAGACCATGTATCAATGTGAGGCAGTCATTCATCCACACCCTAGCATAAGCTAGTCTTTTTAACTCCTGACTCCCAGACCTAAAGCCGGGCCTCCTTGGCGATTTTCCCCCTTAAGACAGCCTGTTGTTCACCTTTCCCAGATCTTGCAAAGAACCTAAGGGCAGGGACTGTGCCCAGTTCTCCATGGTGCCTGGTACAGAGAATGAAAGACTGTATTCTTCTGTAGTTACCACTTGTTGAGAGTGGAAATCTCTCTGCTCCTTGGCAAAAGTGCTTATTCATCCTTCAAAACCCAGCTCGAATGCCACCCCTTGCTTCTTGTTGTTTTGCAGCATTTATTAGGTCATGGTGGGAAGACGCAGTTCCTGACTACAGGCCCATTAAGGGCAGGGATAATGGCTCTGATCCCCCCACCTCCAGACCTTGGCTCATGCGGCATCTGCTAGAAATGTTTGTTGAATGAATATGCTGGACAGTAATGGAGCGCTCAGCTCCTATGGGGAATGTGAGGAGAGAAGATGTCCCCAGATCCTTCAGGAAGGGGAGGAGGGAGGAGGCTTGAAGGGCCTGTTCCCCGTCCTCTCGCAGGCTCTGGGCTGAGCTGGCTGAAGCCACGCTATACTGTCTACACCCATGTTATCTCATCTGACCTGCAAGTGAGCACTGTGGGACGGGCACCGACTCCTTGCTTGTGAAGGAAGGATGAGACCAGGAAGCAGAAGGGCGGGCCCAAGGCCATGCGGCCGAGGGGGGCTGGAGCCCAGGCCTGCGTGCCCGATCCCCAGGAGGGCCTGTGTGCTCCCCTCTCTTGGGGAGCAGGAGACCTCCCCCCCACCCTGGAACAGCTGGATGGATTTTCCACCCGGAGATGCATGGGCACCAGAGGCATTTCCTGCTCTGGGCACTGGGCAGGGGATGGTCCCCGAAGGCCCCTGGAGCCCCAGACTCACCTCCCAGGAAGCCCAGCTGCCCGCAGGCCAGTGACTATGAGGCCACAGAGGGAGGGACCGCCTATTCCCCTCTGGCCTTGGGGGTGGGAGGGGCCAGGAGCCCCAAATCAGGGGCTCAGCCCGAGGCTCAGCGGGTGGCTGGGGTTCCTCAGGCCCAGGCCCCAGACAGCCTTGCAGGTGATACTAAAAACAATGCCGATCGTAACATCCATGCCTGCCACACACCGCGAGCCAGGTATTTATGTGGATACGCCGGTCCAGCCAGGCCTCAGGACAGCTCTGCGAAGCAGAGCCTGTATGGTCCCCACTTGATTTATTTTTATTTCTTTTTTTGACTCGGAGTTGCTCTGTGGCCCAAGTTCTGTGGCAGCCTCAACCTTCTGGGTTCAGGCGATCCTCCCTCCTCGGCCTTTCGAGTAGGTGGGAAGACAGGTGCATGCCACCATGCCCAGCTGATTTCTTTATTTTTTGTAAAGATTGGGTCTCGCTGTGTTGCCCAGACTGGCTATCCCTTTCCTTTTTTCCTTGAGTCGGAGTCTCACTCCGTCGCCCAGGCCAGAGTGCAGTGGCACGCTTACGGCCACCCCAGTGTCAACCTGCTGGGCTCCAGCCATCCTTCCTTCCGCCTCAGCCTTCCAAGTAGCTGGAACTACAGGTGTGCCCCACCATGCCTGGCGAGTTTTTTTTTTTTTTTTCTCTTTATTGCAGAGTCGAGGTCTTGCCAAGTTGCCCAGGCTGGTCTCAAAGCCCCCGGGCTCAGGCAAGCCTCTCGCCTCGGCCTCCCGAAGTGCTGGGATGACAGGCTTGAGCCACCGCGCCCGGCCGTTCCCACTTCACAGGTTGGGAGAGTGAGACTGGAAGGGCAGAGGTGGGGTCCCCGCAGGCCTGTCTGCGCCCCCTCTGGGCAGCCTCCCAGGGCCTCCCCCACGCGGCCACCTTCCCACCTGTAGTTGTGGAACCAGTTGATGACGGTGTTGGTCTTGAGGTTGAGCTGGAAGGACAGGAGCTCGATGGTCTGCTGCGAGGGGTAAGGCTCCAGCTGGTAGGCCCTCCGCAGCGCCGCCTTCTCCTCGGGCGCCAGCACCACCCGCGGCTTCTTCACCTGCAGCAGGCTCAGCTCCTGCGGCTGCAGGCAGGGGCTGGGGCACTCGGAGCGCGGGGCTGGGGACTCGCTGTCTGAGCCCGTGCTGATGAGGCCGTACCGGCGCTTCAGGTAGGCTGGGCGGGGAGGGAGGCGGCAGGCTGAGGGGGCCGTGGCCACCCTGCCTGCGCCCTGGCAGACGCCGACCCACCTTCCCACCCAGCCCCTCTGCTCTCTCCCCCTCCTTGCCCTCTTTGCTGTGTCATCACCGATTTGCTTTTGGAGGCAGGATCTTGCTCTGTGGCCCAGGCTGGAGGGCAGTGGCAGCTGCAGGGCTCGCCACGTTCTCCAACTCCTGAGCTGCCTGCCGTGACCCTCCCGCCTCGGCTTCCCGAGTAGTAGGGACCACAGGCGCATGCCACCACGCCTGGTGTTTCTCATTTATTTATTTGAGTTGGAGTCTCACTCTGTCGTCCAGGCTGGAGGGCAGTGACACGCTCACGGCCACCGCAAGCTCAACCTGCTGGACTCGGGCGATCCTTTGGCCTCAGCCTTCCAAGTAGCTGGAACCACAGGCATGTGCCACCACGTCTGGCTAATTTTTGATTGATTGTAGACACAAGGTCTCACCATGTTGCTCAGGCTGTTCTCAAATCCCTGAGCTTGGGCAATCCTCTCGCCTCTGTCTCCCAAGGTGCTGGGATTACAGGCTTGAACCACCGTGCCCAGCTTCATTTATTATTTTTTTTTAAGAGACGGGGGAGTCTTGCTATGCTGCCCATGGAATTCTTGGACTCAAGTGATCCTTCCGCCTTGGTCTCCCAAGTAGCTGGGACTACAAGGCATGCACCACCACCCCTTCCTTCTTTCCTTCCCGAGGGGGTCTCACTATGTTGCCCAAGCTGGTCTTGATTTCTTGGGCTCAAGTGATCTTTCTGCCTCGGCCTCCCGGGTAGCTGGGACTACAGGCATGCGCCACCACACCTGTCTGGCTGGCTGACTGGCTTCCTTCCTTCCTTCGAGATGGGGGTCTCGCTATGTTGCCCAAGATGGTCTCAAATTCTCGGGCCCAGACGATCCTCCCACCTTGGCCTCCCAAGTACCTGGGACTATAAGTGTGCACCCATGCCCAGCTGTAAATATTTTAACTGCTTTCAATCCTTCGGGACAGCTGTTTTCAAGGAGGCCCATACCAGGCTGAGACTGGACTGTCAGGGCCCTGGAAACGGTTCCCAGGGGAACCTCTGAGGACAGACTCGGAGTCCCCAGGGTCCAGCCCATCCCCTGCCCATGTCTCACCTTTCTTCTCCAGCTTCTTCATGTCCCTCAGCTTCTCCACATTGTGGGGGTCATTAAGCCACAGCTGCATGCGGACAAAGGGCTCCCGCCCCTTCAGGCTCAGCTTGTGCCAGGGTTTGGGCCGGGACAGCAGGTCGGACACGGAGCCCTGCGTCAGCCCCAGAATGCTCTCCCCAAACAGCCGCTGCCCTGCGGACAGGCGGAGGCGACTGTTAGCCTGGGCTGGGCAGAGACGCCTGCCCCTAGGAGAGACGTGGCAGAGAGCCCAGGGACCATCTCTGCTAGCTGGGAAGGGAGGGCCAGGGACACGGGGGAGCCCACACCCCGTGAGACCAGGAGGGGAAATCTGTGTGCCAAAGGGATCTGGGGAACAGGGCCAGACAGCCCAGCGAACGTTCTTTTTCTTTCTTGCTTTTTTTGAGTTGGAGTCTCACTCCATTGTCCAGACTGGAGTGCAGTGGCACACTCCCGGCCACCGCAGCCTTGACCTGCTGGGCTCCGGCGATCCTTCTGCCTCAGCCTTCCAAGTAGCTGGAACTACAGGAGCGTGCTACCACGCTAATTTTTTGATTTATTGTAGAGATGAGGTCTCGCCAAGTTGCCCGAGTAGGTCTTGAGCCTGCGGACTCAGGCAATTCACTCACCTCGGCCTCCCAAAGTGCTGGGATTACAGACTGAGCCACTGAGCCCGGCCGAAAGTTCTTTTTCACCTGAAGAGGGTTCTTGCTCCTCAGAGAGCTCTTAACTTGTCTGCAGATTTCATGCATACACGTTTGTGTCACCATGTTGGAGGACAATTTGACAGGGCCCATCAAAATGTCAAATGTGCAGATCCTTATCTCCTGCAGTTCTACTGCCTGAGATAGCTATGCTTTGCCCAAAGGCACAGACGTGCACACCAGCATTTTTTTAAAGGCAACAGGCAACCATAAACAACAAAAACATCCATTAGTTGGGTAAGAAACTAGTGCACCGAGGCCTGAACACTTCACAACAGTGAAAAAAGAATGCAGACGATATGATCATTCTAATGTGAACACTCACAAAATAGTGTTCACTTTTTTTTTTTTTTCTTTTTGAATTGGAGTCTCACTCTGTCACCCAGACTGGAGTGCAGTGGCCGCTCCCGGCCACCACAGCCTTGACCTGCTGGGCTCCGGCGATCCTTCCACCTCAGCCTTCCGAGTAACTGGAATTACAGGCGTGCGCTACCATGCCCGGCTCATTTTTTATTTATTGTAGAGATGAGGTCTCGCCAAGTTGCCCAGGCGGGTCATGAACCTGCGTGTTCACTTTTCAAAAGCAAGTTGTAATACAACATGTGTATAATTTCATCTATCTAGAAAAAGGAGAAGAAATTAGGTATCTAGATATTCTCGCATGTGTTCAGAAAGTGTAAAAGACATTAAAAACTCGAGTGTACTGAGAGGTGGGAGGATTGATTTAGTAGCTGGAACTACAGGGGCATGCCACCACACCCAGAGAAACTTTTTATTTTTATTTTTGTAGAGATGAGGTCTCACTATGTGCCCAGGCTGGTCTCTTAACTCCTGGGTTCAAGTGATCCTCTTGCCTTGACCTCCCAAAGTGCTGGGAATACAGGCACTGGTCTCTTTTTTTGCTTTTTATCCTATGGGTTTTTCTTTCTGTACTGTTTGGTATTTTAAAACAATGAATGTCTTATTTTTATAACATAAATGGTAGTGAAAAATGTGGGGGGTGTGTGCACCCCTCTGGGGTATAACCTCCATCTATGATTCAGAGGAATCTGTGATCCTGAAAGAGAAGAGCTCTAGAACCTATTTCCTGCTGGGCCCCTGGGTGAGGACTTTGCGGGAATCCCACCGTGACTGGGGTTCTTGCAACCCCCTGGAAGGTGGTGTCAAGAGCTGTGGACTGAGAACGCCAGGTCCCATGAGACCTGCATTCGCCTTCCTTCTGTCCTAGCCAGCTCAGAGCCGGATGCCTTGAACAGGGTCTAGGGTACCCAGGGCTGACCAGCACATCCAAGTGGGACTCCGGTGCCCTGGATCTCACACGGGCACTTCTTCTTTCTCTTTTTCCCTCTTTTATTTTTCTTGAGTCGGAGTCTCACTCTGGAGTCGCCCAGTCTGGAGGGCAGCAGCACACTCGTGGCCCCCACAGCCTCGACCCGCTGGGCTCCGGCGATCCTTCTGCCTCAGCCTTCCAAGTAGCTGGAACTACAGGCCTGTGCCACCATGCCTGGCTAGTTTTTCTTGACTTAGTGTAGAGACGAGGTCTCGCCAGGTTGCCCAGGTGGGTCTCAAACCCATGGGGCTCAGGCAATCCTCTCACCTCGGCCTCCCAAAGTGCTGAGATTATAGAAGAACACCACGCCTGGACTCTTATTTTTTTTAAGTCAGGTCTCACTCTGTTGTCCAGGCTGAAGTGCAGTGGCATGCTCACGGTTCATCACAGTCTCAACTTCCTGGGCTCAGGCAATCCTGCCTCAGCCTCCCGAGTAGCTGGGACTACAGGTGCGTGCCACCCCACCCGGCACGGGGTGCTGTTTGCCAGGCAATAGGAGCCGACTGAGGTGGAAGGCAGCCTTCTCAATCCCCTTCCCCATCCTCCGTACCTAGATTGTTGTCGGTGAGGACCTCCTTGACTCTCTTGGTGATGGAGTAGGTGTCCAGCTCGGGGGACATGGCCACGATCTCTTGGATGCCCCCGGCAGCCGGGCTGCCCGTGCACACCTTCCCGCCCAGCACGGAGCTGGAGCGGCCCTCGGGCTGCTGATTCTCCTTGCTGCTCTCCAGGGACAGGCTCAAGGGCTCCTGGGCGCTCTTCTCGGGCTCTGCAGGGCTCGGGGGCGGGGACGGTGAGGACCTCGGCTCAGTGGGACTGGCTGTGGGCCGCAGAGAGAGAGGCGTTACTTGCCCTGGCACGGACACGCACAGAGTGGGGACACTTGGATTCTCACGGCCGAGTGCTGGCAATTGCCGTAGTGACAGCTCAGGCAGGGACCACACGGATGCTGGAACTAGGGGAGAAAGTCTGATGAGGGCTAGGATTTTTCTTTTCAGTTGGAGTCTCACTCTGTCGCCCAGGCTGGAGTACAGTGGCACACTCCCGGCCACCGCAGCCTCGACTTGCTGGGCTCAGGCGATCCTTCCGCCTCAACCTTCCAAGTAGCTGGAGCCACAGGCATGCACCACTGTGCCTGGCTAATTTTTTGGAGAGACGAGGTCTTGCCATGTTGTCCAGGTTGGTTTTGAATCCGTGGGCTCAGGCAATCCTTTCACCTCGGCCTCCCAAAGTGCTGGGATTACAGGCATGAGCCACACCGCACCCGGCTGATGATTAGAATATTGACAAAGCCTCCAGTGTCTCCCCACAAGATATCTACTAATTACAAAGGGGAACAGTCACTTTACAGCACACAGACCTGGTGGACGCCAGCTCAACCAAGGATCAAAGTTAGCGTCATTAGTCACAGGACAGATCCACAACTGTGCCTCCCAACACAATGCATGGAGGACACAGCGTCACTCCTGTGTTCCCAGCCCAAAGCACACAGTGCAACCACCGGGAAGCACTGGACAACCCAAACTAGACAATCTGTAAAATAACGGGCCTCTGGCCTTCAGAAATGTCAAAACTGGCCAGGCATGGTGGCTCACGTCTGTCATTCCAGCACTTTGGGAGGCTGAGGTGGGAGGACTGCTTGAGTCCAGGAGTTCGAGACCAGCCTGGGCAACACGACAAGACCTTGTCTCTACAAAAAATAAAAAATAAAAAACTAGCCAAGGGAGGTGGTGCATGCCTGCAGTCCCCGCTACTCAGCAGGCTAGGCAGGAGGATTGCCTGAGCCCAGGAGATTGAGTCTGCAGTGAGCCATGGTTGTGCCACTATACTCTAGTCTGGAGGAAAAAACGAGACCCTAACTCAATTTCTTAAAAAAGTCAAAACAGGAAAAGAAAGAGGCAGAACTGTCCATATCGAAACAAGACAACTGAATACAAGTGATTTTTTTTTGAGTCGGAGTCTCACTCCGTCGCCGAGGCTGGAGTGCAGTGGCACAATCGCCACTTGCCACAGCCTCGCCCTTCTGGGTTCCTCCCGCCTCAGCCTCCCAAAGTGCTGGGATTCCAGGCATGAGTCATTCATTTTTAAGACATTTTGTATGACTATATGTCAGGAAAAAGCCTGGGAAATAGCGGGGGCTGTGATCACGGGTGGATGACTGTGGATCTCGGTTCCTGCCTCTGCCACGCGGGGCCATCGAAGACGCGGTGCCACCCCTGCACTGACCCCACGGGGG